TCAACGCGGGACTGGTTCGCTTGTATTTCTACCTCAAAACTCTGATGCTTCTGCACCTTTGTTTGCAAATTCATGGAGTCTTTGTAACTTTCATCAAGTGCATTTTTAAGTTTTCCTGATATCCATGACTGCATTTCATCTACATCTCTATCGAACATTTGGTAACGGTGGGAATCTTGAAGATGCTGACGGCGGTTCTGAGCTTTCTCTTTTAATGCATTTCGTCTATTTTGGAGACCTTCCTGAATCTCATGAACCTGTGCAGCCGCATAGTGGTTTGATTCGATTAAGTTTGCAGCGAAACCATCAAGTTGTCGCATCTTTTCTTCTTGTGCTAAAAGTGACTTTTCGAAGTCTTCATGTTTCCTTATGAGTGCTTCCACAGAATCGAGTGAGTCTCCCACATCTTTTATTTCTAAGAGGGCCTCTTGCTTACCAATCCAAGATTCCGACTGTTCAGCGTCGCGGTAAAAATACTGAATGCCCATACACTGTTCTAGCTGCTCACGTCTTTCCTCACACAACTGCATCAAGGAGGCTCTCTCTCTTTCAAGGGTGGAAAGTTTAGCAGCTATGTCTTCACTACAGGGATGGCCAACACTTAGTAATGCCTGACCTTCTTGCATGCATGTATCGAAACTTTCAGCTCGAGAATTTATCTCAGCGGTGTATTCCTTATGTCGCTCTACTTGGGCTTCAGCACCAACTACATCCTTGCCAAATCATCCGCCAACATTAACGTCTTCATGTCATTCATCCAGATACTCAAGTCTCTCCAGTCAGCCGAAAAGCGATGCATCTTGAATGACTCTTCCAGTTTACCTCTCCTATCTACAGCCTGACTTTTCAGCTTATCCCATGCAGTAATTAATTCGTCATACTTGCCTTGTATAGTGTCTTGCGAATCAGGATGCTTCTGTGCAAGCGCCTTAGCATCATCTCCAAGTCGAACAATCTTTTCATCTGGGGCAGTCAAATCCCTTTCTAATGCTTCGTGCTTCCTTTGTAAGGCTTGGACTGAGGCAAGATCACGACCACAGTCCTCAATGGATAAGGGAATAGACTTTTCATTCACCCACGATATAGCTTTATCTGTGTCTCTAAAGAAGCACTGTATCTCATAGGCTTCCAGGAGCTTTTCTTGTCGTTTTCTAACCAGATCCTTCAGACGTTCTAGAGCTTCGCGGACCTGTCTGAACTTTTCTATGACTAGGGCATCCTCAGGAAATTTCTCTTTTAGAAGTTCATCTGCCTTCCGATAGATGTCTTCGACACGACTTTCTTGATTTTCGAGATCTTTTGTAAACTCATTAAACCCTTTTTGAAGTGTCTCAACATCTTCCAAGTCTTGACCTAAATCCTCTGATGTTACGTAAGTTTCGTTTTCACGTATCCAGAAAAGTATTTCGTCGACTTGGCGTAAAAGCTGGACAAATTTAAGCTTTAGGTTAATGACACTGGATTTTTCTCTGAAAATAGCCATAAGCCTTTCCCACAGGGCATGCAATTCATCAAGACGGTTTTTGATAATATCTGTTGCGTAGTGTCCCTGACCAATCATTTCTTCTCCCGTAGAATCTAGAGCTGAGAGTGTTTCAGCATGAACTGTTACTTCGAACTCAAACTCTTGATGTTTCTGTTTTTTCAGCTGAAGATTACTGAGTTCATTAAAATCCTCATTTGTATATGTTTGCAGTTTTTCATTGATCCAACACTCAAGTTCATCGGAATTCCACTTAAAATATTGATATCCTTTAAGCATGTCCAGAAACTTAGATATGGTTCTGGTGGACTCATCATTAGGAGATACAGAGACTTTATGAGAAGTAGAAGGTTTGTAAGGCGATTTATTGTGACAAGAACATTCGCGACTACCTTGTCGTAATCTTTCTAATTCCATTTCCTTCTCTTTTTGGACTATGCGCAATTTCGCTAGCTCCAATTCTACCATATAGCGTGATTCATACTCGTTGCTTCCAAGGAAATCAGCTTCATTACTCTTTCCTAATTGTGGAGTTAACGACGGCATAGTTTCATAACTTTCATCTGACATGCTGTTCGAAACTTTCGTCTGTAATACTGTTCGAAACTTTGTAGGATTATTTTTGTCCTACAGATTTAGTCCTCCCTCAATACTGACGACACAGAGTCTGGGCTTAGCAATAGTTAAAACAGAATAACTTGACTTTAACTTTATCTGTTTCTAAAACATAAAATAAACCATACAATTACACCAAGAAAAATGTACAAATCCATTGTCATCACAAAAATAGGACAAAAACGTACCGAACAGTATTGAAGGTACGGACAAAATGAACAGTCAATTAATTACATGTATATACAAGTAAAGTGACAGACAAAAAAGAACATCCAAGGTCATCACGTGGTGAGAGTTACAATAAATTGGCCAATAATCGCGACAAGAAAGGTCACATAATATTGATTGGCTGTTTATCATACAGCCTATCTATCTGTCGCGATTAACAACCTATATGTATATATATATAACCATTTATATTAACCCCGTTGGTGATCAGAGGCACAAGTAACTAAGGCAACAATGAAGAATAGAAGAGAAGTCAAAAAACAAATCTAGGAGACACAGTGAGGTTTTTGACTAGCATCCATTTGTAATGCTGAGCTATCTGAATGGTCGAACCAAGGTCATTTGACTTTGGTGTCTATTGTTTACCCTTGCCGTAACTCATCCACACAAATGTCAACCGCCTAAGGACAGGACAAGTTGTGGCAAAGTGAAGCTATCATATCAAAAGTCATAGTGACCTTGAACAACCGATCATAATTCAGGTGCAATAAAATTACATTATGGTTGTAAAATACAGTAGAAAATATCGCAAACACGGTGTTACACCGTGAAAAAGTAGCTTATGTGTTGTAACGTCTTCCAGTCACCACATTTAATTAATCCCCACACTACTCCTTTTGGAGTCAACCAAAGCTACGACAGTCGAGTGGCGGGACGAGCTACGCAGACGTTTACCGAAGATCAGGAACCTATACCTTACAATCAAGAGGCGAGCACAAAGAAATCAAATTGGTTTATACTAGCTCGTGAAAATGATATTGGATACTGAACGTAGAACTTATTTATATTATGTAGACTTGAAAAGGTGAGAGTACAAATAGAGCAATAATAAAATTCAGTAACTAAACGAACTGATAAATGTAATTAAGGGATGAAATAAAATGAGCGAATGATTGGGCAGAGTAGCCAGAAGAATGAGACTAGTGGGAATGGACAGTAGCAAAGTACGAGTTTAGGTAATGGAGCGTGGTGTGTGAGTTTCAAGGGGTAAACCATTTGTACACATATCAGGTGTCGCTGCATGATTGCACAGCCTCCACTGCTCTCCACAGATGGTGCAGTAGCCACAACTGTTTGTAGAGAGTATCAGTGACATTAAACTCGGAGCGGAAAGTAATGGAAGTGAGTATGTCCCGATTTTTTGTGAGGTGGTAAAGGAGTTGATTATTGAAACAGTTAGCTGATTCTGATGGAAACGATCTGTTGTCAGTTTTTCCCTCAGGTTCAGTTAGGACACTTGAGTGACACCGGTTTCCATCCTCAGTTATACACCTCTGCAATGTCACTGAGGTATGAGGTCTAAATGTGACTTCAGTTTGCTGCCTATACTAGGGACCCAGGTCAGCTTTCCCAGCACCAAATATGTACATCCACTTTATTCTCAGTCTTATACAACTGATGTAGCGCCATAGGCAATTGCTCCAGGGAGTTGAATTTGAAAGCTGGAAGCCTCGGTGAGCTCACTAATATGAGGCGAGTGGTATGACATAATCTACAAATCGATATTACCCGCGGAAGCACCCAGCACCAACAGAGATAATGGCCAAATTCACTGCCGTATATCATTCAAGCGCTTCTCACAGACGGTGTAATTCTTCAACTACGAAAATCTGCGTAAGACTACAAAGCTGGAGGCCTCTAGTTACTGCCCCTGTCACTTCAACCCCAATGGCCTATAAGGTATTCGCAAAGGTCTGAAAAGGTGGAAACCTCAAAATTTGTGAAATTTTCGCACATGTTTTCTCTGATATTCATTTTTAGCTTATTCACACATGATGCTTAAAATTATGGCCCAAATTTCTAAAAAAAAGTGTCCGTCGAAATACAATTGTTTTAGATGGTGGCTCAACCTCGGTTATAACCGCATTACCGCCATATTATGCAGTATCAGTAGTTAACTACTAGCTCACAAAATGGCTCGAGTGCAGTTCTCACCCCTGTGAAACAGGTGAAAGATGTTCTATTGGATAACCCTGAGTTCTGTAAATTAAACCTCCTTGTGAAAGATATCCAGAGGCAAGTAATTAATTCTCAGGAGAAATTAAGTCAGTTTGATAGCATGACACTGCTTATGTGTTGTAACGTCTTCCAGTCACTACACATATCATCTGTAGAGAAATCGTTCCATGAGTGTTAGGCGTATTCATCCGGGTGAGTGTAGGTCATGGTACTTTTAGTTCCATTGATATTTCAAACACTATTTTCCACCTACCCCTAATACTAAACTTAACCCTAGACCCTTATCCTTAATCTAAAAAGCCATGGCCCTACATAACTATAGATTTGCAGTAGTACCACGTAAATACGTAGAATACTATGTCTACCCTCTCCAAGACCATAGAGACAGGCACGATTTGATTTGCAATGGTATTTCATAGAATGCCCTGCATCTGGTAGGTCCTTGAAGGTCAACTTTCGAGATACTTTAAATTTGGTAATGAAACTTTAACTTCTCCCAAGCTGTTTATTATTCGTGACAACCAGAAAGGTTACACTTTGTACATTAGGAGTGTTTCGATATCTCGTGCATAAATTAAGGGCCATACTAGTCCTAAATTTACACGTGGTTACATAAATGGTGTTATTAAGATCGTTATTTCTACAAACTTCCCGCTAGTGTAAAGGAAAGTCCTACGAAGTTGTATTCACACGTATACAAGACTAATGGGCTTACATGTATTATGTTGCATAGGTTATCGACAATACTGTTAAGAAAACTTTCGACTTCATTTCTTTCTAGTCCTTTGTACATGAAAGATTCAGGATGAACTCTATCTGTGCTATATCTAAATTTGACAATACTTCCAATATCCAATATCCAATATCCTGATTACGAGCTAGTATAAACCAGTGATTTCTTTGAGCTCGCTTCTTGATTTTAAGGTAGAGGTTCCAGATCTTCGGTGAACTTATGCGTAGTAAATCCCGCCACTCGACTGCTTTAGCTCTGGTTGACTCCAAGAGGAGTGATGCGAGGATTGGTCAAGATTGTGGTTTGTAGTGTGCAGTATGTTAGGACTCAGCTGCTGCCGTGAATGGAGTTTGACCTAACACCCGTTGGTCATTCGGTATAGTCATAAAAGTGGAGTAATAATAATAATAGGTTGTAGTGTAGATAATATAGGTTGAGATAAGTGAAATAATAAAGGTGAAATAATAAAGAAAGAAAGAAAAGATAGAGTAGTCGGTACAGTGGGAGAAGACAGGACGGGTCGTGGGGATTTAGCTTGTATGCTTATCCATTGACAATGTGGTTTCAAATTTTAAGAGGGTAAGCCATTGAGACACAAACCATGCATTTCTGCATGATTGTCCAGCTTACGCTTAAAAGTCTCCACAGATGGAGCTGTAGTTACGGCCGCCGGTAAAGCCTTCCAGAGACGGCAAACTCGAAGCGAGAAGAAATGTGAACGCACTCGAGTCCTTGGTCTCTGGTGTGCTATCCTTAGCGGGTTACCTCGTGGAAGCCTATAATCACTTAATGGCAGGATGCTCTTATTAGGATGGGCCTGGTCATTTAGGATCTTATAGACGGTGATGAGGTCTCCCCTGTGACTACGGTAACTAAGTGTGAAAAGACTTAATTTCTTCAGTCTCTCCTCATATGATTTGTTGCGGAGGCCGATCGCCCATTTTGTCGCTCGTCTCTGGACACTTTCTAGCATGTTAGCATCCCTTTTGAGTAGCGGAGGAGCAATGATATTATGCACCTCAAGGAGTGGCCGCACGTATGTCGTATACAACGTTAGGAATAGTTCAGGAGTAAGAGCTCCCAGCTGCCTATGCATAAAGTGTAAAGTGGCGTAAGCTTTGGCGACGTCCCTCGTGTAATTTACACTGGTGTCTAGCTTTTCTGTTAAAATAAGACCTAGGTCGCGTTCTGATGGCACACAACTCAAGTTCTGGCCACCAAGGGTGTAATTTGCACTCTGTGACCTGCCGGAATGAAGTTGCACTACTTTGCACTTCTTTAAGTTGAAAGGCATTCCGTTAGCCAGAGCCCAGTCCCCCAGCGTTTGCAGGTCAGCCTGCAATCTGTCGGAGTCTTCCGATGAGTTTATTGCTCTCCAAATCTTTACGTCGTCAGCGTAAAGAAGCGCAGAGCAATTCAGTTGACAGGGCAGGTCATTGATAAAAATCAAAAACATCAACGGCCCTAAGATAGAACCCTGAGGAACCCCTGAAGCCGAGGTGTGCCAGGATGATCGGATGCGGTTGACTTTGGTGCAGAATTCTCTCTCGCCTAAATAATCTTCTAGCCATGCGAGAAGTGCTCCAGAAACACCCGCTTTGCTTATTTTGTGAAGGAGCAGACCATGGTGAACTGTGTCGAATGCTTTCGCAAAGTCGAGAAAGATCACATGGACTGGTACCTTTACATCCCATGATAGTGTCCAATCGTTCCAAGCTAGTAGAAGATTCGTCACACAGGATCTTCCCCTCCTGAAACCGTGCTGTGCTTCATGGAGTAGGTTAGTCCCGTCGAAGTATTTTCTCATGTGGTCGTCAATGAGACTTTCCAATATCTTCGATATCACTGGGAGTAGCGCAACTGGTCTGTAACTGGTCGCGTTCTGCCGGTCACCACCCTTGAAGATAGGGGATAGGATGGCTCGTTTCCATTCACATGGAAGTTTCCCTACATCGAAGGAGTGTTGAAACAGATCACTTAGGGGTTGGCAGAGACTTTCTGAACACTGCTTCAGGACGGATGGTCTTATGTCATCGCAACCTGCAGACTTTCCCGAAGCCAACTTTCCCAATTTTACGAGTACCATAGCCGGGGTAATTTGAAATGTACCCAGCAGGTTTTCGCACGTTGGTCTTACATTGTAATCTTGATGTTTTGTGAGGGTAAAATCCTCGTTACTGTTCAGTTGCCTGTGAAAGGCTAGACTGAATGTCTCTGCCATTTCAAGACTAGTAAGAGATTTCCCATCAGAACCCACTATATTGCAAGCTCCCTGGTTGGTCGGTTTTCTTTCAGACATAAACCTGTATAGGCCTTTGGGGTTCACGAGAAGCTTATTAGCGAGGTTTCTCTGAAATGTCCTTCTATCACTCCGGACTCGTATGTTACACCGATTCCTGAGTTCGAGGTACTCTTCATGTTCGGGTTGACTCTGCGATACTCGCCACGCAAACCAGGCTTTTCGCTTCGCCTGTAGAAGGCGTTGTGTCCCCCTTTTTAGCCATGAACGTTGCTTTCTAGCTTTAGGTGTGACCAAAGGAACAGAGTCTGAGATCGCCTGGTGAATGATCTACTTTACCACTCTCCAGTGTTCTTCTACTGTAAGCTCTGTCCAATTCTTTGGCCAATTTGCTTCAGACAAAAGTCTTCGCATTTCGGTGTAATTGGCTTTGTTATAACACAGATAGGGCTGTGTATTGTCCCACTGTAAACGCTCGCGGAGGACTATGTCGAATGTTATGACCGCGTGGTCACTACTACCTATGGGAGTCGTGATCTGAACGTTTTCCACTAGTAGCTGGTCACTAGTGAGCACGTAGTCCAGTCTAAAAAACAAAACCAACTTTTCACCCTCTACATCATAATCAGGTTCATTATAATTGTAATCATCAGATTCATCTGAATCAAAAGACTGCTCGTTATCTGACTCTCCTTTCATCCTAAGAAGACTTCATCCATGGGACCTAGACATATCGACCTAGACGTCAAATTTACCAGACAGCCTCAACAGTGACCTACAACATTCAATACCCAATATCGTTTTGATGAGCAAGTGTGAAATAAATTCATTTCTTTGTGTTCCATTTTTGGTTGAAAGGTAGAGGTTTCTGATATTTGGCAAACTTCTGAGTAGTGCGCCTCTCCAATAGATTGACACAGCTTTGTCTGACTGACGCCAAGGGGGTTGCTGTGTGCATTTGTTATATTTGATTTTCAGTGTGCTGTGTGTTGATTCCCTGTTGCTTCTGTGAATGGACGTGTTCATTCCATCTGTTAGTCATCAGGTGTGTTCCAACCCAGCAATAGGGATGATGACAGTAATCATAATGTATCAAAATTATGGAAAGTATTATTGACGATCACATCAGGGAATATCTCGACAGGTCTAATGTACTCCATGAAGTCCAACATGGTTTCCGGAAAGGGAGATCCTGCGTTACTAACTTACTATCAGCTTGGGACAATTGGACATCATACTGAGATATGAATGTTCAAATCCACGTTTTCTTCCTAGACTTTTAGAAGGCATTCGACATTGTTCACTATGACCTCCCACACAAAATAAGCCAGGTAGGTATAGGTAAGCCACTTCTGTCATGGTTGAAGGACTACCTAACTGAAAGGCAATTTTGCACTAAGGTCAATCGAGTCCGATCATCTTGGCACAGCTCGTCATCAGGAGTGTCGCAGGGTTCTATCCTAGGACCACTGATGATTTTGATTTTTATCAATGATGTTCCATGCCTTCTTAGCTGCCCAACTCTTCTGTACGCTGACGACGTGAAGAAATGGAGGGCGATAAAGTGCCCGGAGGACTCAGATAGGCTAAAGTAAGATCTAAACCTTCTGGAAGACTGGGCGGTAGCCAGTGGCATGACTTTCAACCTGAAAAAGTGCAAAGTAGGGAAGTTACGCACCTGTAGACTGCAGAATGCAAGTTACACCCTGTGCAATGAAAGGTTGTCCTGCACAACGTCGGAACGTGACTTAGGTCTAGTTCTAACGGAGAAAATGGATGGGGATGTAGCGAGGGCATATGCGGTCATACACTTTACACATAGACAGTTAGGTGCACTCACTCCTGAGCTCTTTCTAAGGTTGTACAAAACATACGTCAGACCGCATCTTGAAGTGCATTACATTATTGCACCCCTACTGCTTAGAAGAGGCGCCAACATCCTGGAAAGAGTCCAACGACGGGCGACAAAAGGAGTGGTTGGTCTCCGAAATAAACCATATTATGAATGGACAGTAGTAAAGTACGAGTTTAGGTAATGGAGCGTGGTGTGTGAGTTTCAAGGGGTAAACCATTTGTACACATATCAGGTGTCGCTGCATGATTGCACAGCCTCCACTGCTCTCCACAGATGGTGCAGTAGCCACAACTGTTTGTAGAGAGTATCAGTGACATTAAACTCGGAGCGGAAAGTAATGGAAGTGAGTATGTCCCGATTTTTTGTGAGGTGGTAAAGGAGTTGATTATTGAAACAGTTAGCTGATTCTGATGGAAACGATCTGTTGTCAGTTTTTCCCTCAGGTTCAGTTAGGACACTTGAGTGACACTGGTTTCCATCCTCAGTTATACACCTCTGCAATGTCACTGAGGTATGAGGTCTAAATGTGACCTCAGTTTACTGCCTGTACAAAGGACCCAGGTCAGCTTTCCCAGCACCAAATATGTACACCCACTTTATTCTCAGTCTTATACTACTGATGTAGCACCATAGCCAGTTGCTTTTGGGATTTGAATTTAAAAGCTGGAAGCCTCGGTGAGCTCACTAATATGAGGCGAGTGGCACGACATAATCTACAAATCGATATTGCCCGCGGAAGCACCCAGCACCAACAGAGATAATGGCCAAATTCACTGCCGTATATCATTCAAGCGCTTCTCACAGACGGTGTAATTCGTCAGCTACGAAACACTGCGTAAGACTACAAAGCTGGTGGCCTCTAGTTACTGCACTTGTCACTTCAACCCCAATGGCCTATAAGGTATTCGCAAAGGTCTGAAAAGGTGGGAACCTCGAAATTGGTGATATTTTCGCACGTGTTTTCTCTGACATTCATTTATCGCTTATTGATACATAATCCTCGAAATTATGGCCCAAATTTCAGAAAAACGTGTCCGTAGAAACACAATTGTTCTAGATGGTGGCTCAACCTCGGTTATAACTGCATTACCGCCCTGTAATGCAGTATCAGTAGATAACTACTAGCTCACAAAATGGCTCGAGTGCAGTTCTCACTCCTGTGATACAGGTGAAAGATGTTCTATTGAAGAACTCTGAGTCCTGTATATTAAACCGCCTTGTGAAAGATATCCAGAGGCAACTAAGTGAACCTCCGGGAAAATTAAGTCATTTTGATAGCATGACACTGCCAATCTCGAATATCACGGAGAACCGCTCCAATATTGGCCAGGTTAAGTCTCTGCTGGATGTAACTCAAAACAAGCTTGCGAATTTACACCCAATAGCCTCCCTGCTGAAAACATCCTAAAATGTCTCCAGACAACCTAAATAGAGCTGGAAATCTGATTGGCTACCTGGCTGCGGAGGTGATAGATATAGACTCTTCTCACTAGGCTATAGTTTACAACATCTCAGACTCAATGCCTCTCAAGACTATAAAACACAAAAACCATGGATTGTTACGGAATGGCTAATGTGCCATGTGAATGCAAAATACTTCGTAAAAAGTCGACTCAGGCTGATTTTCCCATCATTTTTAAGTTCAGTGATTCTCTTGATGCTAGTAATTTTACTAAATTTCAGGATCATTTAAGACTGAATACCAGCTATAAATCTGTAATCATACCTCAGGATAAAACACCGTATCAGCACAGAATAATGCATAGTAATAATCTGGTCACCTCCTCCGGCTTAAATTTACCAAAAGTGGATCGCGTACAGAAACAGTCACCTAGCGCTGACAGTAACACTCAGCAAACTACACAACAACCACGCCTGCCAATGGAAGTAGGAATTGATTTAGATATCAGTATCCCTGTAAATAAAGCCTCACTGAATGGTGTTAAAATACCTAGAACTGCTGCAAGTGTTTCTAAAAAATTTTCACCCAAACGTAGTAACCTCATCACGGCGAACAAATTTCGCAGGATTGAGACTAATGATGGAGAAGTGTACTTTGTATTCAATAAACCTGCTGACAGTGAGCCTGATACTAAGAAATCCTCTCGAAACACAAGTATTTTCGTGGTTATCAACATACTCCGCCTTATTGAAACTTAGGCCGCAAAACCACCAAAGTCTTGAGACCGAGGCACCTTCCCCCACAATATTCTTCTGGTTATAAAAGCAACACGAAGACGTGTACCTGTATGGAGAATAGCAGATTGATGGGTAGACCTTATGATGCTGTGCCCTTTAATCCACAATCCAGGCCCAACCACTACTATCCGTATTTCCAGGAACACATAGTGAATTTTTTAGGTGTCCCGAATCACTGGTACGACCCATAGGACCTAAAACCACCTCATCTCACTCTAACCTCGATGTATGAACACCCAGTCCGACGCCCTTATCATTTATAAACTCTTCCGGTGCTGACGCACAAATAGAATTAGGTTATGGTGACATTTTAAGCCAGTTTGTAGTATCTCGTGACTTATTCAAGATATAACTAATTAATGCAGGTTCCTTAATCAACGAGCTCATCCTCTATACTTGATGTGCATATAGGTATAGATGATTGCACTGTACACCGTGCAAATAGAGATTGCAGGTGTGGTGGAGGATGTCTCACATATATACAGAACTCATTCGTGGTCAGTAAGGTGGAAGATGAAATACTGAATGAGGTACCTGATTCACCCTGGATCGTCTTACATGGAGATAAGTACAAACTTCTTTTAGGCGGTGTTTATCGAGCACCATGCTCAGACAAAGAAACCGATGCATTATTAGCTAAATCGTTTGCACACGCCTCCTCGTTTAGTACTATTTACAAAACAGTTTTGTGGTGAGAGTTGGCTGCTAGCCAAAGTTGGTAGACAGTAACTGACGTCAATTTTTATGTCCCCAATATTAGTGGTGAGAAAATGAGAACAAAGGCTTTGCATAGGCGGATACAGTTAGCATATGGATGATCTGACACAGCCACAAAGAGATGCAAGGTTAACTTTCTGTGAGAAACAACCAATCAAAAGACCGTATTGTCTACTAACAATAATCTACAATAATGTACATTAAAATCTATAAATATGTGTTGATTTTCCTTAATAAACGATCTGTTGCCTGGCCCTTGCTTCTGTTGTTACAGTTTCAGTGGCCTTCAATCTTCCAGACGTCAACTGGTTAGGTATCTCTGGCTCCCAACGCTTCGACGAATTACTTGCCACCGTCAGTTGCTATGGCACCAACACGTTCAGATACCTACCCGTGGTGACAACATGTTGGACCTTGTGTTTTGTTATGACACAGCCCCAGTCTCTACCTATGCTGGTAACAGATTTGATCTTAGACAACCTTCTCCATGATTCCTGAGATAACTGGGGTTATGAGTCCGTCATTGTGAACGTTTGCCATATCCCCAGATTTGTGGTGTGAAATTATGATGCTTGTTTTCCACTCATTGGGGTAAGTGCCAGTGTCCACATATATTGAGAAGAAGAGGTGATATGTAAACTGTTCGGCAAGCACCTCGCCAGATTAAACACCTTAGACAACGATGAGTTCGTGGATTTTCCACACAAAACAGACGAATGTTTAAGTGACATACTTTTCACCACACATGAGATCGATAAAGCTATCTCAAATCTTAAGCTTAGTAACACTATTGGTTCAGACGGCATATCTTCCATTCTGCTGAAAAACGGTGGTAATGATATGAACTTACTCCTACTCAAGTTATACTCAATTTCACTAAGCGATGGGACATACCCTGCCTGCTGGAAGAAGTCTATATTGTACATAT